TACCTTTGAAGCCCTCTAAGTCCTTTAATCAGAGATGTACTCTGAACAGGGAACACATGACAGGAAGTAGTCTGCCTCAAACATAATTGTCATGTGCAGTACAGTTATAGTACAGTAGTGTAAGATGTTCTTTTTAGCAGCAGTATTTCTCAAATCCCAAGCAGCTTAATAATGATTAATAATTAGATTATTGATCAGCTATTTGTGAAGGTATTTCCTTGAAGTTGGCGAGATGTGTCTTTGATGTATCTTTCCGTATCACTCCCCGTCAAGCTTACAACAACTGGATACTGATTAAAACTAAAGTTGGTCAGAAGTATGTGATGAGTCATCGCCCATCTTAGCTACTCAGTGAGCTGTGCTGCTTTTGCTGAATTTGTGCGATGATGTGCGGATTGGAAGAGTGGGAAAATTTCCCATTATTCCCACTGCTACACTTTAAAAAATGCCCTAAATTGTAGTTAAGTTATTGTTTTTTCTTTTTAATTATTTTTGTTTTTTCTTACATAGTTCTAGCAGTTCATTATTTTTGCAGGGTTAAGCCTGGAGGGGATCATGCATGAGTGTACATATGTGTGAATCTGTGTATCCGTCTTTTTTTTTTTCAATCAATCAATCAACTAATCGTCATTAGTTGTTGCATAGAAATTATACAGAGTGCAACTCCAGTGAAATATTAACATTAGCTCCTTTAAGTTGTGGACTGTAATTTAGTCAGTTTTCGTCGTCTTTCAACATTGGCTGATGTCTTGTAATTATCCATGATTCCAGATGGTTCTGGTAATCCATGGTTCCTGGTTGTGGAGGGACGCAGCTAACTACTGCACACAGCAAACTACTGGACCAATCAGCCTAATATTTTGTGTACAGTCAAGGCTGTTTGCTCAATAACCTCTTGCAGTTGTGTTGATTCAAAATTGTTGAGAACCTGTTTTATTGACCATTTTAGACTGTCCTTGACTGCCGAATCCTCTCTCTTTTTAACTATTGTTAATACCTCATTTGTTGTGCTGTAGCCAACAGGCGAAGTTGATACTAGTAAAAGTTTACTTACGGATGACATGGATCAAAGATTTGTGGCTGATTTAGTTATTAAAAATAAATTCATGCTCATAATTGTATGAATTCACATACAGGGCCTGTAAAAAAAAAAAGAAAAGAAATCAATCTGCTCTGTGTAAAGCGCCGTGGCTCTGTCAAATATAGATGCGTGTATTTTTGTGATGTTTCTGAAACTTGCTGCATTGCGTCTGCTGATATTACAAGAATTGTGTTGAGGAGCCACAATCAGCCTGGGCAGCCGCTTGGTCGCCTGGCTTCATTCTAAATCAGCTGATTTGACTCTGCTGGTGTTCATGTTGGATTTTGTTTGTTTGTAACTGTTTGTAGTCTGTTGACACAAGCTATAGATATCATGTCAAAATCAGAAATACTTTGTTGATCCCTGGGGGGAAATTATTAATCTCTTAGAAATTCACAGTATCACACAGGCCATCTTAAATGTTGTTTTTCCCACTGCTGCTCGTAATTATGGTCCAAACAATGTGATGTGACTGATCATTTTACTGTTATCATAGATGCTAAAGCAAAAACACTGAGTCTGAGACAGTTTGAGTTTCTGTTGTGGAAAATGTTTGGATGCACTGAAGTCTGCAGTATCATTAAATTGTAACTTCCGTAACACAACTTGCAAAGTAATTTCTCACAGATGGCCAATCAAGCACTCACAACATAGCATGATGTATAGAAATAACACAAGCTTTCCTTCATCTGTAATGCCTCCCTGAAGATGACTCATTAATTTGCTGCAGCTTTGCAAACAATTAAAATGGAATGAGTGAGAGTGATACCCAGTGTTGCCCTCCCCCATGATTCAGAGGAATTGACCATGTGTAAAATTTTCACGAGCTTGTTTCTTTTTTTACGGGCCTGCTTGTTATGAGTCAGAATAGGATCCAATCGACTGCTGTTAACAGAATCTGTGTTCAGGCTGACGTGATGGCCATATTAAAACTAGTATGGCAGAAAATTAAACAAACAAGGTGGCCTTGGCTGGTTCGGCACACGGGACGTAAAGGCAGATGAGATGCTGATTTAATAACACCACTTGCCGTAAATAGTTTTGAAGCCTTTAGTTGACACAGTAGAAACTACTTCAACAGCTTGGCCAACTAACGGGTCATTGGATGCTCTAATTACAATGATACACAGCAGATGTCACTTGTACTGTACAGGTCTCTACCCATATAGGAAAATCTGTAAAATCCAAACAAAAAAAACAAAAAAAGGTTTCACTGTTTGTGTTTTTCATGTTGGTGTTTTTCTCTTGCAGATGTACATCCAAACAACCACGTTGACCATCTCCGTGAGCCTGAGCGCCTCAGTGTCCCTCGGGTTGCTCTACATGCCGAAGGTCTATGTGGTTCTCTTCCACCCGGAGCAGAATGTGCCCAAGCGCACACGCAGCCTCAAGGCTGTGGTTACCGCCGCCACCATGTCCAACAAGTTCAACCCCAAGGCCGGACTCAGACCCAACGGAGAAGCTAAGACTGAGCTGTGCGAAAGCCTCGAAACACAAAGTAAGTATATGCATGCTAATGAGGAGGCCTGTGACTAAGAGCCGACTGTTTCTTTTTTTTTTTTTTAATCCAACATGTTTTGTCCTTCAGTGTCAGTAAATCAAAGAAATTGATTCAGAGATATGAAGCAGAGTAAAAAATAATTACTTATTAACAGATGTGTGGCATGTTATTTAACACTTCATTGAATCCAGTAAATGTGCCACTGTTGTTTATTTGGTGGGAGGCGAGTCAGGAGGAAGCGTTACAGGATTCTCAATTATGTGTGTGGGGTGGTGAAGTCATGATGAAATGGATTACTTTTATCAACACAGAACAGTTTCTGCAGCTCAACAATACAACTGCAGTTCTGCTTCAGTACAACCTTAAAATATGACAAGTTAAACAATGATTTTTTTTCATTGTCATTTTCTTTTCATCATCATTTCATTAAATGTAGTGGTTATATCTGAAATCTGACATCTCATGCTTTAAAGGACCCTCTCCTTTTGACTGTTGCTCCCTTTAATCACACCCCTCCTGCTGAAAGAATTAGTTGATTAATTGAATAGTGAGAAAAGGAAAAGTTAAAGTGATGTCTTAAACACTGATGACTGGGTTTTTCTCTCCTGGTCAAACCTTTTTTTAGGTTAAGAAAGAGACATTTTGTGTCACATGCATCTCAGGGTTGTGCTAAAATGCTAATGTTGACAAGTTGGGCGATCAATAGGTCTAATCTAATTAGACTCTAATTAATTAATATAAGCTAATGATTAACATGTAGAAAATGTCAGAGGACAGTGAAAAGGCACATTGTATTTTCCCAGAGCCTAGTGTGACCCCTTTAACTAGCGTGTTTTTTATTGAGGAACAGTCAAATCCCCCCAAAGATATTTAATTTTAATCATATAGGACTGAAAAAAAGTAACAAATCCTCACATTAAAGCAGCTTAATTCAGCTGCCAGCATTTGGTATTTTAGCTTGACAAATGACAAGAATAATGAATCAGTTATCAAAATTCTAAACCCTTAATTTAGTGTCAATCAACTAATCAATTTGCCCATTTTTTTCAGCTGTAGAGATGTAGTTTAATGTAATAAAAAAAAAAAGAAAAAAAAAAAAGGACAACATTTCTATGCTCTAATTTTTGCAGCTTTGCTAGAAAATTAATACTAAAATAAAAAACCTGTAGAAAAATCAGATGGGAAAAAAAGAGACTAACTTAGAGGTCAGATAAATGACATAAATTTAAGACATAAATGACTTCACTATTTAAAATCCATAAAAACTGGTTGAAGTCATTTATGAGGCCAAACTTCGACCAGGTTCAGCTTCTGTAATATAAGAATTTGGATCTTTTTTCTGCTTTATATTCATAAAAAATGTATATCCTCAAGGTCTGGACAAAACACTTAATTTCAAGACCTCAGTTTGGGCTCTGTGAAAACATAATGGACATTTTCCACTGTTTGACATGCTACAGAGGAAACAACTAATTGAATAATAGTCAATATGTGATCATTAATTAAAATCATTGTCTGCAACCAGAGATTCAAGTTATTGTAGATAATCAAAGGATGTTTGACTCTCCATTCTGAAGCAGCTCAATCTCTCAACATGTGCCTCCTCCTAATTGCAATAGCAACTAGAAAAGCACTCATAGAGCATAGACCTTCACCAAGCAGCTCAGATTTCCCGCCATTTTATTATTTTATCCACTTCGCTTCAACCGATCACCACCAGTATTTTAGCATCTGTTCCTCCCATTATCAGCCTTTATTGAAAATTTCATCAAAATCCATTTAGAACTTTTTGAGTTATTCTGCAAACAAACAGACCAACGCCGGCGAAAACATTACCTCCTTGGCGGAGGTAATAAAAGTGCTTGGTGCTACTGTGTCACTGACACACCAGTGAAGTAAATAATGACTTCAGCAATTTAGTCAGCAGAAATTACTCATGTGATGTCCAAAATGCTCTTCCTCCGCTCGCCTCAGGCAGGGAAAGGTTTAAATTGGTCATGTCTGTCAACAGAGATGCATCCCATCCGTCTGGCCTGTCTTAACAAGGGAATTGAGCCTATTGTCACACATTTTAAACTTCTGTTTACTCTTTACTTCTCAGCAGGAATGAGAAATGTTTTCCTTCATAGGAGAATAAAAGAGCTGACAGTGTATTTATGGTGAACACAGAAAACAGAAATCAATACAAATATAATGACAATGTAGTAACAATGGCAGGCCCATCAGAATAGCTACATATAAACATACAGTGCAACATTAATTCATATCCTGCTTTAAGTTTCTCTGGAGGGTTAATAGGGCCTTTTGTTACAATAAGTGTTGAGAAGGCAAAGGCGCAGAATTGATAGCCAGCAGCAATTTATCCTGATGGGGTTACTGTTTACAGGGGCTGTACAGTGCATGGCTATTTGAATAAGCACCATTTGTCATTGTCATCGCCACTGTGGATATATGGCTTGATGAAATTGAAAAATTCCTGTCTGGGCCAGCTCCTACTACTGCCAAGATCTGGTGGCGATATGTAAGGATTTATCTGCTCCACCTCAGTGAATCAGCTAACACGGTGTGGGGAGACAACTGGAAAGTTAAGGCATGATAGCTGAAGGAAAAGGAGGTGTGATTGGGGCAGTCGGATTCACTGAAACCCCTGTCTGCTGTAGGTAGTACAGGCATGTATTAAGGGTAAAAATACAGCCACAGAGTTGAGGATTTTGGATTTATTTTACACTACAGCACAAGGACTAAACAGAATTCTTAAATTCATTTTATTAACATGTTACACCATTTGAAGACCCTTTCCAAACATTTTAAAACCTCATTGCCACTTGAAGTTCTAACCAGTTACATCAGCAACATACTTTAACTAATATACTATAAGTTAAAGTAGCACATCTAAAAGTCTTTGTTTGTGGTAACCACTCTGGACCACTGTCTCAATGCAACATAATTCTGACAGACAGTTTGGGAACAAAGCACAAAGATATTCCTGATGAAGGACTGTATGTTAAGCAAGGTAAACATGATGAAGAGCTAGTAGTATGTACAATCTACTAGCTACTAGCTAGTAGATAATATGCCATACAAATCAATGTATAGTATGTCCTTCAAAAACCCATAAAAACTCATACTATTGTATGTCATAAAATGCATAAAAATTCATAATACCGTATGTCATAGAAAAATAATGCAAAAAAAAGAGTCATAAAAAATGTGCAACAACAGAAACTAGTATTAAAAGTATATAGTATAGTATAGTGTATGCCTAAAAATGCCATGAAAGTCATGGTATAGTATGTCATTAAATGCCTTATAAATAAAATATCATAGTTTTTATTTTGTCATACAAAAAAACAATAAAAAGTCATAGTATTGTATTTCATAAAAAATGCCAAAAAAGTCATAGTATAGTTTGTCATTCAAAATGCCATAAAGAGTCAAGTATGTAAAGTATGTCAAAACAAATGTCATGAAGGGTCATAGTATAGTATGTGGGGAAAAAATGTACATGGACATCCTGTAAACAGCAACTGAACAAATTATTTGCCATTATCTGACATTTCACCTTACACTTGCTACATCAGGAAGCAAGGCCAAACACAACACCCACATGTCCTTCAGAAGTTCCTCTTATCTTACAGGTCACAACAGTTCACCTTTACTCTGTTTAACTCCCAGCCTCCCTCTCATTCTTCTCTTTCAGCTTTTTCAACAAAGCAAACCTACATCAGCTACAGCAACCATGCAATCTAAGGGACAAATCTTCTTATCGTAATTCAGGATTTTCCACCTTGACGGAGAAAAACATGCAGTGGAGTTTCACACAGCTGGCATAAAAAATGGATGTGTCATTGTACGGGTGGAGATCACAGAAATGTTGCCCAAAGACGTGACGTGGCGAGGAGAGACCACGGGAATGGACAAAACAGGGGACCAGAACAGATAACAGTACAATTGCAAGGTTCCATCTTCTGTCTGCCTCACAAGAATACACATTAAAAAAAAGAAAAGAAAAATGAAAAATACTTGCATGGCAGAGGCCTGGAGACTGATGGATGGAGCTTTCTTTTTGAGTGTTTACATTTCAGCTATGCCCCCTTTCAAAGACTTCTCCTTCATCTTGAGCAGTGCTGACTGAAACTGAACTAAATCAAGAATATGTTCAGGTGTTCTCAATGTCGTCTGCCAGTTTTAAAAAACTGTAATTAATCTTAAAAACCCTCAAGGCATCACAAGGGATTAATCAACACCAAAAAGGCATGAAAACATGGTCCATGGATTTCTAAAGGGGGAGGGTAGGGTTGTGTTTGTTTTTATTTCTAAATGTAATCCAGTCTCATGAGTCAAATGACTGGAAATGGCGATCATCTCAGCAACGCAACAAATCTGTACCAGACTCCATGTAATTTTTTTTCCCCCTCTTCCAGGTTTCCACTGAGTCAGTGATAAGGACTACACATATAAGATGGTCTCTGCCGATTTTGAGCATGCCAGTTTCAACATCCTGTGTTGTGTCGTTAAAAAAAAAAAAAAGAAGAAAAAGAAAAAATAGTATCTTTGGAATGCGTTTAAAACTCTGTTGCAGCGTTGTTAACAATTGTTTGGGCCCGAGCCTATTGTACGTTAAAAACTGTTCTCAAATGGTGAAGGTCTAGTGAGTGATTATTTATCTGTGCTTAAGTGAGGCCATGATTTGTATTACCAGCTAGCCCAAGGCTGCCACTGCCCTCCGCATACCTGTATGTGCTTTGAAACGATGGCTCGTGGTTAAAACAAACAGTATTTTATCCAGGAGATGTTACCGTAAGCTGTCATCCAGGATGACCCTCCCATCACTGCCACCAGCTATTCTCTTGGTCACACGTAGTGTAAGGGTAAAGCTTAGCTGTACAGATCCATTAGGAGGGGAATTAAGATGAAGTATGCCCTTGAGAGGATTGTGCAATATGACCTGAAGGTGATATCCATAATGGACCAGCTACTGGGAAAATTCATTACTATACATGTCCTCCTCAGGCACTCTCATGATAAGGAGGAGGTGTCGGGAAGTTGTAAGGCTTTCCAACAAATGAAAATCTAATTGCAAAAGTATACATTATCTCTATCAATCACCCTGAGCTCGCTGAACAGATTAATAGTTGGCTTCATACTGTAAAAGCCCTCTAATGTCTTGGGGAAAAACATCGTGGGGTCATTTGTGTTGTGAATTCAATGCTGCTCTTCATGCCTCCCTCTGTATTACTTTCAACACCATTTGTGTTGCAGAATAAAATGTGAGTGCTGACCAAATTAAATGGCAAGTTAATGTATGTTATTAAATAGATTGATGATGTCTGCTTTATGTCCTGACATATCCTAAAATTGGGGAAAATGTACAAAAAGATACAGTGCCTGGCTATCTGACTATGTATTTGTAAAACCTCATGAAAACTAATGAAGTGTGTGAAGCATGTTTAGTTTTTTTTATACAAAATTTTATTTCTATTAAAAATGTTTTCAAACTTCAGCACCGTTTGTGTGATTTGGAAACATCTACTGGTTTCTTAGTTCACATATTTGACCCTTGGTTTTAAAAATAAAGGGAGGAATAAAACAGAATTGTACATTAGCAAACACTGCATCATCTTCAGCTAAATGATTGGCAGCTCCTCTGTGGGAGTGTGGTTTTTTTTCTTTTTTATTCTTGTTGTAAACTAATAATACAGTTTAAAAAACAGTTTGTCAGCCCCTGGAGAAAAAAGAAGATAGCTACCATCCTCTGAATAATATGTTGCCACAACTGCTCTGATAATAGCACTGGAAGGAAGGAGAATTGGTGGAGGGAAACATGAAATTATTTTAAATGAATGGTTTGCTGCTACTTGAAACTAAGGCCTCTGCATGCGGCGAGCTCTCAGGATCTATCATCTTTTCCACGCCCTCCTGTTACTGTGAGCGCACCACACAAAAGGCTCAGAAATAACAGTTGTTATAGCAAGTGTGCTAAATGCGTGCCCAAGTACTAGATAACTGCAATATGTAGAGCAGAGTATATATATCATCTTCACATGGCAGAGACAGAATGAGGTGTCTTCAGTGTTTAGTCCCATGAGACTACAGGGCTTTGCGTTAGACATTCTCCTGTTGATGAACAAATTTAGAAAGATCTAATGCCACAATAAAGAAAGTGACGTAAACATTAAAGTAAAATCATGTAAATTATGTAGCATTTTAAGTATCTTAAAAAATACAGTATGAAGTCACAAGCTCACATTAATGCAGCACTTCCACATGCTCTTGTGAAAAAAGAAATACTTCATACAAAAATAAAAACTAAAGAACAGTTTTTGGCCGGCTGCCAAATAAAAATCTATACACAGTATGAAAGACACTGCAGGACCCTGATGTGGGCTACTAACTAAATAAATCACTAAATCAATACATTATTAATAAATAACACATAACAAGGCCAATACAGGCTGCAAATAACCTCTATGTTTTTCCTCAAGACCCACAAACTGAAATAATCAGTCTTTCATGGATCTTACAGGCCTGATTATTGGGAACCAACATTCCTGAATCTGCAGTTGTTTTTCTGAAAGACATCCTCAAACGAAGTCAATAAAACTGTTATACTGACAACTACTAAACGAAGAGCATACACTGTATCTCTCTGAATTCAACACATTTATTACAGTTGATGTAACTTTAACTCCCTAGGGACACTTGAATTTACCAACAGGAAGTACAGCTGGAACAGTTACAAACACTTATACTTGAACCTCTAATCTTGTGAGATTAAACAACTCCAATATTTTCTGTATGAATCGTCAACACTTAATGATCCAACATAAAAAGAAGCATACTAATGGGCACTGATAGTGCATCACTTCAGTCCAGCTAAGCACTGATGGAATTGTTTTGATCCCCTCTTATGATGTTAATGCAAACATTTCCTGCAACTCCTTTACTGTAAAACTGTATCTGACAAGCTCTTACTGTAAGGCACCTGCAGTAAGGAGTGCTTTTATTCAACAAGTGTGAAGCCATCTTAATGCATCAATAAAACTGAACAGTATGTGTTCCTTTAGCCTCTTTAACACTCCTTTGAAAAAGCTCAACTCAAGAGAAAGACGGCCTCCAATTAGCTGGGAAGAAATCAGCCAAACTGAAGAGATACTTCAGGTTGCACCACCTTACTACATATCACACGGTAAGTAAACTACATGTAATGTTAAATAAAATTCTGATATGGATTAAGCCTGCAAAGCTGACTGAGAGTCAACTAAATTTATGCCTTAAAAGGCATAGCACATTGTCATTTAAAATGCCATTAAAAGTCATAGTATAGTATGTTGTCAAAATTGCACTAAATACTTATAGTATGTCGTCAAACTTTGATCAAAAACAGTCAGTAGTGTGTCATCAAAATTTCATTAAAAAAATGTCATAGTACACTGTCCTGCAAAATTATGAAAAAATGTCATAATGTAGCAAGTTGTCCAAAATCATGAAAACACATCATAGTATAGCATGTCGTCCAAAATAATGAAAAAACATCATAGTATAGCATGTCGTCCAAAATAATGAAAAAACCTCATAGTATAGCATGTCCAAAATAATGAAAAAAGGTCATAGTATAGTATGTCGTCCAAAATAATGAAAAAAGGTCATGGTATAGCATGTTGTCCAAAATCATGAAAAAACGTCATAGTATAGCATGTCGTCCAAATTAATGAAAAGATATCACAGTATAGTATGTCTTCCAAAATAATGAAAAAATGTCATAGTATAGCATGTCGTTCAAAATCATGAAAAAACCTCATAGTATAGCATGTCGTCCGACATAATGAAAAAATGTCATAGTATAGTATGTCGTCCAAAATCATGAAAAAACCTGATAGTATAGCATGTCGTCCAAAACTATGAAAAAAGTCATAGTATAGCATGTCGTCCAAAATTATGAAGAAATGTAACAGTATAGCTTGTCTTAAAAAATTCATGAAAAATGTCATAGTATAGTATGTCGTCCAAAATTATGAAAAAACGTCACAGTATAGCATGTCGTCCAAAATTATGAAAAAACGTCATAGTACAGCATGTCTTAAAAAAATCATGAAAAAGACATAGTATAGTATGTCGTCCAAAAGTATGAAAAAACGTCATAGTATAGCATGTCGTCCAAAATCATGAAAAAAGTCATAGTATAGCATGGCTTAAAAGATCATGAAAAAGACATAGTATAGTATGTTGTCTTAAATCATGAAAAAACGTCACAGTATAGTATGTCGTCGAAAATTATGAAAAAACGTCATAGTATAGCATGTCGTCCAAAATCATGAAAAAAGTCATAGTATAGCATGTCTTAAAAAATCATGAAAACGTCATAGTATAGTATGTCGTCTAAAATCATGAAAAAACGTCACAGTATAGTATGTCGTCCAAAATTATGAAAAAATGTCATAGTATAGCATGTCGTCCAACATAATAAAAAAATGTCATAGGATAGCATGTCGTCCAAAATTATGAAAAAACAACATAATATAGCATGTCGTCCAAAATTATGAAGAAATGTCACAGTATAGCATGTCTTAAAAAATTCATGGAAAAATGTCAATAGTATAGCATGTTGTCTAAAATCATGAAAAAACATCATGGTATAGCATGTCTTAAAAAATTACGAAAAAAGACGTAGTATAGCATGTCATCCAAAATCATGAAAAAATGTCATAGTATAGCATGTCGTCCAAAATTATGAAGAAATGTCATAGTATAGCATGTCTTAAAAAATCATGAAAAAGACATAGTATAGAATGTCGTCCAAAATTATGAAAAAATGTCATAGTATAGCATGTCGTCCAAAATCATGAAAAAATGTCATAGTATAGCATGTCATCCAAAATCATGAAAAAATGTCATAGTATAGCATGTCGTCCAAAATTATGAAGAAATGTCATAGTATAGCATGTCTTAAAAAATCATGAAAAAGACATAGTATAGAATGTCGTCCAAAATTATGAAAAAATGTCATAGTATAGCATGTCGTCCAAAATCATGAAAAAATGTCATAGTATAGCATGTCATCCAAAATCATGAAAAAATGTCATAGTATAGCATGTCGTCCAAAATTATGAAGAAATGTCATAGTATAGCATGTCTTAAAAAATCATGAAAAAGACATAGTATAGAATGTCGTCCAAAATTATGAAAAAATGTCATAGTATAGCATGTCGTCCAAAATCATGAAAAAATGTCATAGTATAGCATGTCATCCAAAATCATGAAAAAATGTCATAGTATAGCATGTCGTCCAAAATTATGAAGAAATGTCATAGTATAGCATGTCTTAAAAAATCATGAAAAAGACATAGTATAGAATGTCGTCCAAAATTATGAAAAAATGTCATAGTATAGCATGTCGTCCAAAATCATGAAAAAATGTCATAGTATAGCATGTCATCCAAAATCATGAAAAAATGTCATAGTATAGCATGTCGTCCAAAATTATGAAGAAATGTCATAGTATAGCATGTCTTAAAAAATCATGAAAAAGACATAGTATAGAATGTCGTCCAAAATTATGAAAAAATGTCATAGTATAGCATGTCGTCCAAAATCATGAAAAAATGTCATAGTATAGCATGTCATCCAAAATCATGAAAAAATGTCATAGTATAGCATGTCGTCCAAAATTATGAAGAAATGTCATAGTATAGCATGTCTTAAAAAATCATGAAAAAGACATAGTATAGAATGTCGTCCAAAATTATGAAAAAATGTCATAGTATAGCATGTCGTCCAAAATCATGAAAAAATGTCATAGTATAGCATGTCATCCAANAAAAAAATGTCATAGTATAGTATGTTGTCCAAAATTGTGAAAAAATGTCATAGTATAGTATGTCGTCCAAAATCTCGAAAAAAGGTCATTGTATAATATGTCCCCCAAAATCATGAAAAAAACATCACAGTATTATATGTTGTCCAGTATCATCACAAAACATCACAGTATAGCATGTCGTCAAAAATCATGAAGAAAAAAGGCGTAGTATAGCATGTCTTCCAAATTCTTGAAAAAAGCTCAGAGTATGGTGTTATGACCCAGGTCTTTATTTTTTGAGTATTTTCCTTGTGTTGATCTGTGTGACCTTTAAGGTGTTCTCTCTCCTCCTGTCAGAGTGTGTGCATGTGTTGAAGCTTGATTGGTTGTTACAAGCTTGATTGGTTGTTACAAGGCAGGTGGTGAGTGCTGATTGGGCTGGCCCAAGAAGACCGCTGACACCGGATTGGCCCACTGCAAGTCAGAGGGTTTTTAAACCTTCAGCTGAGAGAAGCTCTTCCCTCCTTTCATCCTTCCACTGCCAACAAAGCCAGTAGTATATCTAGATTGTGTTTGTGTGATTTTGTGTGAGTACCTGCAGACAAAACTCCTCATTCAAACAATTAGTGTTTGTGTATTTTGATAACTCAGTTACGTAGACAAGATATTTTAGTGATGTTGAGTAGGTGAGTAGATTTTTGTTTAGC